TTTTAACACACTGAACATGCTGGAATTCTTCAGTCACAGAAGTGGTGCTATGGTTCACTGGAACATGGGTGTTGTCCCAGTCAAAGTCGTGGTTCTCCTTGTCCATGTGGATTGAGATGAGTGGGTATTGGTCATGTTGAGATGAGTCAGTATTGGTCGTGTCTCAACTCAATCACAATCCACATGGACAAGGAGAACCACAGCTTCGACTGGGACAACACCAAAATCCTGGGACAGGCTAGGCAGAGATAGGCATGAGAATTCCTAGAAGCATGGCACTCCACAAAGCATGCTATTAATAAACACACTGAACTCAACCCCATATACATTCCACTACGAAGGAAACCCGGAAGTGAGGCAATCCATCTCAACGGACCCTGGAGTTTAAAAACCAGGCGGGAAAACACACCGGCTCTTCATCGGAGGCTGCACTGATGATGTTACCCAGCAGGGTAATGAAACGTCTGCGAAACAAGAAACCAGCTCGGCGAGCCAACCAACCTCAACACCCACAACCCAAGCTACAGGTCTACTCCAAAACCTTAGTTCATTGTGTGCCAGTACACTTATTCAGTTTAGACACATGCTGAGGTAAAACCTGAGAAAAGCAAATTGTAGATTGATCTAGTTAATCAGTAGCTTGAGTAGAATCTTCAGCACACTGCCTCCCACTCACATCCATGTGAATGAGACAATGTTATCCTCAACACTGGGTCTAGCAGTGTATACTCGGGCTCTCCCTAGTACAATATATTGTCACCATAGAATCATTTTCTTACCACACACCTTGGCTCAAAGTACTCAAAACAATGGAAGGAAGGTCAGACTTCTGTTTATGTATGGGTTATCACAACTGGCAAAGTTGTTCGTAAAAAGTGAACTATTTTGAAGTGTAATCAATGTTATGTTTGCAAACCCACTGGCATAAACCTTGACTCTGTGCCTTAGCATGACACAGGTGATAATGAGCAGATGGCCCCTTTTGCAGTGTGACATCGACTTCAATGTGAATAAAAATGAGGAGAGATATAAAATGATTTTTTAAAATTTGACACAATTGCACAAGGTCAAGCTCTCTACCGCACCCTACACTTAAACTGTAAAGATATTTACATCCAAAACACACGTGCTCAGGAACATAAAACATATAGAAAGAATATATACAAACCATTGAACTAACTCCTCTTGTGCTGCTTGTAATTCAACGTCTCCCTCTCTTTGGAATATCTTTTCTGTTTCTTTCATATTTTTCCTAAAAGAATAATCTTTATTGAATAGTTTTTAAAAATACATTTCATGATCGTTCAATTCTGAATGCAGGGCTGTGGGGTTTCTTTTGGTGCAGGTGTCTCACTAGATTTGACATTGAAAATAATTCTGCTTCAATTGTTAACTCTTGCTGTTCCCCTCACTTCTACTTGCATGTTCAGTGTCTTTGATTTACTGCAATTTCCCAATTACCTTCTCTTTGTAACCCTGCCCAGAGTCTACTCTGTGTTATCAGAAGAGTTTTTTTCCTTTTGAAGCTAGAAACATTTTTGTTCTCTCCCCATGGCTACTGGCCATCATTGAACATAGGTGGCTTCTGCTGGTTGGTCAGTCAGCTGTAGCTGTAGTCTGACTTTACTCCCTGCACGAGGCATTGAGACTAATTCTGGGGTTCCCACTATCATCTGAGATTATCAAACAGTATAGAATGACATAGAAGTGTTGTCGTTTGTTCTGTTGTTTCAAAAGAGGGATTTCAAGACAGGGATGTGGTATGAATATAATCCACCACAGAATGTGTATTAAAGGCCTGATTATAATCAGGAATGCTGTTAGTTGCAGCACTGAATAATACTGTCTCTTTCACAACAATGTGTTTTTATATTTAGGGCAGCATGATGGCTTAGCGGTCAGCACTGCTGCCTCACAGCGCCAGAGACCTGGGTTTGATTCCACCCTTGGGCAACTGTCTGTGTGGTGTTTGCATATTCTCCCTGTGTCTGCGTGAGTTTCCTCCGGGTGCTCCAGTTCCGTCCCACAGTTCAAAGATGTGAGGGTTGGATAGATTGGCCATGCTAAATTGCCCATAATGACTAGGGATATGTAGGTTAGGTAGATTAGCCGTGATAAATCTGGGGCTACGGCGATAGGGCAAGGGACTGGGTCTGGGTGGGATGCTGTTTGGAGGGTTGGTGCAGGCTCAATGGGACAAAAGGCCTCTTTCCACACTGTAGGGATTCTCTAATATAGCATCTTGAACAAGTAAAACAAGCCAAGGTACTTCACTGCAGCGATGTCAAACAAAATTTGGTGCTGGGCCATTTAGGAAGACAGTAGGAACGGCAATGAAGGGTTTGGTGAAAAGAACTAGGTTTTAAGGAATGCCTTAAAAATAATCAAGGATTAGGGAGGGAATTCCAGAATTTAGGAGCAAGGCAGCTGAAGGCATAGCTGCTAATAATTGATTGATTAAAGTTGAGAATGTGCAAGAGGCCAGAATTGGAAGAACATAGCTATCTCAGTGTGTTGTAGGACTGGAGATTGTGACAGAGATCAGGAGAAGGATGAGCCTTGGACAAATTTGAGCCATATGTTTTTTCTCTGTTTCATTTAATCTTGCGTCATTTCTCTGCCTCTCTCACACACAAAGAAGTGTTATGATTTTCTTCTGTACCCAGATATGCATCGTGGAGCTGAATGTTTAGGTTCCAGAGTGATTTCAAGAGTTGTCCCTGTCCTCCCTCACCTTCCAGCTTTTGGCTTGCTTGAAACAAGTCTCCTCAATTTCTCCATGAATGGGCTCCATGGCATCAGGGGTAATCCGACCATTTATCAACAGGCAATGTGACCACGAAGGAGGCTCCCTGTTTTATATCTTACCTCACTATCTTGTCCAGTTAACTTCACTAGGGAAACAAACAGGATGATGTGTAAAACCCATGGTCATTTGTGATCATCTGCCAGAGACCAAAGTTAAAATTAAACCTGAATACAAAAGCAAAATATTGTGGAAGCTGGAAATCTGAATTAAGAATAAAAAAAAGTTGGAAAAGTTCAGCTGGTCAGGGAGCATCTGTGAAAGGAAACAGAACCTTCATGTCAGTTTCATCACTATTCAGTTCACCAGCTGTGTTTTTGCTGCTTTTTTGTTATTATTTAACATTATACACCAGCCCCCCCAACCCCTTAGCCTTCATTTTTAGTGGGCTGAAAAGTTATGAATATTCACAATACACAATAAGTTCAACTGATAACCAGAGTGTTCTCACTCATCATTTCCTTCCTTCTCTCAGCCAAGGACCTATCTGTGCTGCTTCCTGTGGCTTTCCTGCAAGATTCGTTGATTCCACCTGGACTCACTGTAGAGTTGTACTCCCGGGCTGCTGGTTTCTCAATGCCCAGTGTTTACCTGCCCGCAGACTAAGCTGAATAAGTCAGAGTTGGGCAAGTATCAGGCAACCAAGAGAACTATGCTGTATCCAGTATTACTTCGGGTTGGCACTTTATGACTCAGACCACTGCCACAATCTCTACTGCACAACACAAAATAGGCCAGAAACCAGAAGGAGAAAAGAGGAGGCTGAGAGGTGACCTGTTTGAGATCTTTAACTTTAACAGAGGGGTTCGATAGAGTTGATTGTAGGGAAGACTTTATCCACTTGTTGGAAGAGATCAACACTAGGAGCCATGAACATAAGACAGTCACTAGTAAATCCAGTGGGGAATTCAAGAGAAAGTTCCTTACCCAGAGGATGTAAAACCTGCTACCAGGTAGAAAATAAGTTGTAAATAACACATAAAGACATTACCAAAAGATATGGATAGGTTAAGTGAGTGGGCAAAGATGCAGCAAATGGACAATGCTGTGAGAAAATATGAAATTGACCATTTTGGCGAGAACAATAACAAGGGAGGGATCTCAGTGTTGTGAATGAATGACAGAAAGCTCATATGCAGGTACAGCAAGTAAGTAGGAAAGCTCATAGAACATTATCATCTATTGCAATGGAATTTGAATCCAAAAGTAGTGAGGTTATGCTTCAGTTGTATAGGGCACTGATGACATTATATCTTGAGAACTAAATAGAGCAGTGATCAACTTATTTAAGGAAGGATGTAAATGTATTGAAGACAGTTCAGAGGTTTACTAGACTCCATTGGGCCAAAGATGTGGTATTGACTTTTCCATTAAATGAGAGCTATTAGCATCTTTGATCAGACAGGAATTCATCGGCCTCATCAATGTAGGAACTCATGGCGATCAGTTTGGTGTATCACACTCCGCTTTGCAAAGCCGTGGTAGCACCCTGTATTCCTGTACCAAAGTGTTATTTTTTGCCATCCCTCATTATGGTAGCTAAATTTTAATTAATGTAATCAACTCAGGAGGTCATGATGATCATTTTGGTGTCTCACACTCCACAACAGAAAGCTCCAACAGGGTTGCACAAAAAAAAACATAGACAGATACATACACATACCCACACACAGACAGGCACAGACACACACACACACACACACACACACACATACACACACAGACAAACGTGCATGTGCACACAATTTGTCTATGTATAAAAGATAATGCCTTGGAATCTTTTATGTCCACCTCAGAAGGTAGACAGGGCCACGTGTTAACATTTCACCTGTAAATGTCAGCACCTTTGACAGTATAGCAGTCACTAGTGCATCTTTGGAAAAGGACTTGAATTCACAACCTCCTGACCCAGGTGAGAATGCTCCCACTGAGCCATGGCTTAAACTATTTTAATAAAATGGGTACATAAACTGGCTAAAATTGGCTATTTAAACCTGGGTTAATTGGAGAAGTATCACTTCACACTGTTAAACAAAGACTGCACATTTTGTGATCTCTCAAGTTACAAATTCCTTTGTTGTACCTGGAATAAATATACTTACTACTTGTGTTATTGATGCCCTTGGTTTTTGTTGCCCTTACAGTATAATTTATTGGTGTGAAGGGTAACTGGGTCTCTCTTTTCTCTCCCCAGAATAAACTGGTTGATGACTGTGAGAAATTACAGCTGAGATTAGCTGCAGTGGAGAGATTCACGGATGGGACTCTGAACATCAAAAACAGCAACGTTAAGGCAAGTTCCCTCATTTAACTCCCATCCCAGTTTCTGGCTGAAGAATGTGCTCCCTTTTTCTGGAGGGATTTACTTCCAGTAGGCATTATGTTCAAGGGCTGGTTTTCACAGGACATATACTTGAAGAGGAACAAAATGCAGGGCATTGGGAAAGGAGCAGGTGGAACAGATTTTGTTTTATTTTGTGTCATGTGAATCTCACTGGCCAGGCCAACATTTATTGCCCATCCCTAGTTGCCGTGAAGGAGAAGCCTTGTTAAATTGCTGCAGTGCATGTGCGCAGGGACACGCACATTGTTGTTAGGGAGTTTCAGGAACTTGACCCAGTGACTTACTGCTGGAACAGTGATATATAGTTTGAGGTCATGATGGTGTGTGGCTTGGAAGGGAGCTTGCAGGTGATGGGGTTCCCTTGTCCTCCTAAATGGTAGAGGTGTTGTGTTTGGAAGGTGCTGTTAAAGGAGTCTTGGTGACATGTTATAGCACACCTTGTAGATGGCACACATTGTCGCTATTGTGCATCAGTGATGGAAGGATTGAATGTTTACCTATTTTCAAATCAACCTGTTCTGAGGTGTTACAACACACCTTTGAAACAAGTGGAACACGAAACTGGATCTCTTGGCTCAGAGGTAGGGACACTACCACAGTGACATAAGAGCCCTCCCAGAGTGAATGTTTTTTTCTTTCTGTATGTAAAGTGCTATTATGCACAACTGAGTGACCTTCCCACCAGCAAAATCACCATGAATTTTTTCTTTGCGTTTTTTTTTAAAAGAAGTTACTAACCACCATCAGTAAAAACACCCATGTAGCCAATTCAGTATTTATATGGTAAGCCTGTTAAGGGCAATGCAGACCATCAAAGGTAAGGGGGAGGTAGGGAGAGAGGGGAGGGACAAAATCAGAATGGATTTGGAGGGGGAAATAAAGTACAGTATCCCCCGTGGTGGGACGCCTCTCTCTCGGAGTGAATGTTTATGGTGGTGGCTGAAATGTTGGTCCTCAGTGGTGTTGAGCTTGATTGTAGTTGGAGCTATACTCATCCAGGCCCTGTAGTTGGTGGATAGGTTTTGGGTAATTACTTGCCACAGAGCCCTCAGTCTCTGAACTTGCTCATGTAACCATGGTATTTATATGGCTGGCCCACTGATAAACCTCTGAATATTAACATAGGGAGATTCAGTGATGGTAGTGCCATTATCTGATCTCAGTACAACTACAACCCTGCCACAAGGACATACTGTAATGTATTGTCTTTGTTTATTTGAACCCATGATATTTGGCTGAAGGAGCATATGCAATTAAAAGGAGTCAGAAAATGTTTGTTATTATGAACGTTATAATGGCAACGAACATGTGATAGGGTTAGTGACAAACATTCAGTGATTAGTATCATGCTCTTTAAACAGTTGAGCTCTTGGGACAAAAGGCTTTCTGCGATGTTTTTCACAGGGAGCACAACGTATATGAACTGTGCCTGAGGTCTGAAGGAATTATTTGCATGATTGGGTCTAACTGACATTTTGTTTTGTGAGCTGTCAGCAGAGAGCACATTTCCTACCTTTTCTCTTCGGAGAGAGACATCGGCTGGGCAGTTACAGGCATGCAGAGGTACATTGTAGAGGTTACTTTTTTCTTAAACTGTGCAGCTCCCACCCCCAGTTTAATTTCTCTTATTCTTTCATGGTGTGTAGATTTATACTGACAAGGCCAACATTTGTCACCCTTCTCCGAGTGCCTTTGCTGGGCCAGTTAAGCATCATCCCCATTGCTGTGAGTTACACGTAGGTCAGACTGAGTAGGAATGGCAGATTTCCTTTCCTACAGGATTAGTTAACCAGTTGGATTTTTAGATACTTTCCAATCAACCTTTTAGGAGACGTTATGAGCAGGTGGGACTTGAACCTGGGCGTCCTGGCTCAGAGGTAGGGACACTATCACTGCATCACCAGAGCTCATCAAAAACATCTGAGTAGACATTATTCATCAGTCTGTTCAGAGATGTTACGATACATATCTGGAGCAGGTTGGACTTGAACCCAGCCCTTCTGGGTCAGAAAGGGAGAGAGCGAGAGATGCTACCACTATTTTTATGACAATCAACAACAATTACATGGTCACCATTACTAATGCTGGCTTTCAATTTCAGAGTAATTATTTGGAAGTAATTATTATACTATTCCAGTGACACTACCATTTTGCAGTGGTGGAGGGCATATTAAACAGAAAACACAATAACAACCAGTTCTGCAGGAAAAAACAAACGCAGAGTGCGTAACATGTGCACACACTGTCGGAACACAATCACAGACCCTTAATCAAGCATTATCACTGCACTAGTGATCAACGTGGCAGTCACTGAACCCAAACTCTCACACTTTGACATGCCCACTGAATCTTCACTGTATTCCTACATGAACAGAAGTGGCTGTGATGTGGTAGGGACCAGACTCTCAAATGTCTGATATTATCTGGCTAGGAATAAGTAAGTTTAATTTGAAAGGAACACATGGTGAGATCCCATAAACGTACTAAGAGTATAAAGCCAGAGGTTCCACTGTTTTGAACAAACAATTATAAAATGTACCATGCAAAGTTAGTTTATATATATGTGTACTCAACTTCTACCCATAATACCATTCACAGAAGTGTTCTCAATCACACTGGGTATCTTGCATTTTCAGCTCTATTTGTACGAAAGTGAGTTTGAAGTATTACTGATCATAAATCATCAGTACACCTGTTCGACAACTCACATCGCAAACTGGGTACTTGAATTGTACTGAAGACTTAAACCGAAAGAGAATGAGTTCTGGACAACAGCCAGGCAGGGTCATCGTTGCACACGATTCTTCGTCAGCAGTTGGTGTACTAGTCACGAGGAAGCGACTGTACAACAAATCTTTCATCTCACTGTATATGACTGAGCTCAAAGTCCACACCAGTTACTAATTTTAAACGAAAAGAAAGGGTTGGAAGAAGACTGGTGAAATTGAATGTTTGAATTACATCTGAGTTTATTGTTTGCATTATTTACAAAGCAGCTTGTTGCAGAAGTCTGAACTGCAAGGAAAAGGAAATGTATCCCTCATTTGCCCAGAAGGAGGGGAATGCAGTGTAATATGTATGCAATGCACCAGTAAAGGGTGTCTGAAAACAAAAACAGCAAGATCATGTGCAGACCTGAATCTGATTATTTCTTACCAAGAATTTTATACTACCCAGGCCTTTAGCTCTGGAATTCCCGGTTTAATCCTTTCTTCCTTTAAGGCACTCTTCAAAGCCCATGTTATGTTCAGTCTTTTGTCACTACTCCTAATGCAGTTCATTGTGAAATTTTGTTTGATAACCCTCCTGTGAAGTGCCATAACAGGTCTCATTGCTGCATTAAACAACACAGAAATCTAACTTATAATAATGCTACTTTTGCTGATCAGGGTGATCTCAGCAATTACACTGACTAATGCCATTGATTGCAGCTTATTCTCAGATGGCTTCTCTCCATGTTCCTGCCCCACAGACTGATGCCAGCAGTGCCAGGGAACTGGTCATCCAACGTCTCAACTTTATACGTGAGATGTGTGACAATGAGGAGCAGAGACTGCTGGAGGTGATCCATGATGAGGAAGAGCGAGTCCAGCAGAGCATCTTGACCCAGAATACCTATTGGATGGAGTCCCAGCAAAAACTAGCTGACATTAAAAACTACCTGGTAGACATACTGACAAAGATGGACGATACCGTCCTGGTGGTGAGCAGCACTTCCATTACAACCCTGTCTCATTTATGGCTCGTTATGGTTTACTAAGTAACTAAGTTTGCTCTCTTTTCCTGCAGAAACACCAGAAAGAAATATTCGAAAGGTACGTGCAGTCAATCAAACAGAGCAGATATTGACTTTGACATTAAATTTAGAATAATCCTTTAAAGTTTTACTGCTGCAGCTTGGAATGTCAACAACAACTGAGTGTTAGCACTTTGCCTTGTTTAACTTCACAAATGTTAGCACTGTACCTTGTATTAATTCACAAGTGTTAACACAGACTTGGTTTTAAACCTTTCACCTTCCCAGCTTGACAGTCCAAATGTGGTCAACCGTCTGCATCTGTTTCTTATGTTCTGATGACTATATTTGTTTTTAACAGGAAGCCATTCTCAGTGTTTTTTGTCAAAACTTCTCCCCAAGAGTTCAAGGTTAAACTGTGTTGGTTGCTGTTTAGAATAGAATATATTCTAGGTTTTATCACAGATGGGCAACAGCCTCTTAAACCCCGCTGTAAAATGTCGATCCTTGGATGTTGCTTGCAGAAGGGTCCAGGAGATGAATTTTTAATTTGACTTTCACATTTGCTAAAAAATCCGTCAGTATTTCAGGAGTTTGCAGTCTGACAGTAAAAGAGGGTTTTCCAGGCATAGGTTATTAGTAGGCCTAAGATCACATGCACTGACTTCATGTTACTGATGAAGCCTGGTCACATTTTCACATCTGATAAATGGACCCCGAATTCCCATTCTTACTGCGAAGGAAAGCAGACCCATCCAGTTGTTGGTTATTGCACCCATGTCAGTTAATTTATCTTACATAGATACACAGAGGATAGGAGCAGGAGAAGGCCATTTGGCCCTCAAGCCTGTTCCGCTGTTCATCACAATGGTGCAACTCAACAGCCTAATTCTGCTTTCTCCCCATAACCTTTGATCCCATTCGCTGCCTCTTGAATACATCCAATGTTTTGGCATCAACTGCTTCCTGTGGTAATGAATTGCACAGGCTCACCACTCTTTGGGTGAAGAAATATCTCCTCATCTCTGTCCTAAATGGTCTACCCCGAATCCTCATACTGTGACACCTGGTTCTGGACACACCCACCATCGGGAACATCCTCCCTGCATCTACCCTGTCCAGTCCTATTAGAATTTTATAAGTCTCTATGAGATCCCCCTCATTCATCTGAATGCCAGCAAAAACAATCCCAACCTAGTCAATCTCTCCTCAGACGTCAGTCCCGCCAGCCCCAGAATCAGCCTGGTAAACCTTTGCTGCACTCCCTCGGGAGCAAGAGCTTCCTTCCTTAGAAAAGGAGACCAAAACTGCACACAATATTCCAGGTGTGGTCTCACCAAGGCCTTGTATAACTGCAAGAACACATCCCTGCTCCTGTACTCGAAACCTCTCGCAATGAAGGCCAACATACCATTTGCCTTCTTTACCACCTGCTGTACCTGCATGCTTACCTTCAGCGACTGGTACACAAGGACACCCAGGTCCCGTTGCACACTCCCCTCTCCCAATTTACAGCCATTCAGGTAGTAATCTGCCTTCTTGTTTTTGCTTCCAAAGTGAATAACCTCACATTTATCCAAATTATACTGCATCTGCCATGGATTTGCCCACTTACCCAACCTGTTGAGATCATGGTAAAGGATCTCTGTATCCTCGTCACAGTTCACCCTCCCACCCAACTTGCAGACTTTTAAGATGTAACATTTTGTTCCCTCATCCAAATCATTAATACATATTATGAATAGCTGGGGTCCTATCATAGATCCCTGTGGCACCCCACTTGTTACTGCCTGTCAATTTGAACAGGACCCATTAATTCCTACTCTTTGTTCCCTCTCTGCCAACCAATTTTCTATCCATCTCAATATACTTCCCCCAATCCCATGCGCTTTCATCTTGCACTATAATCTCTTATGTGGGATTTTGTCAAATGCTTTCTGAAAGTCCAAATATATTGCATTGACTGCTTACCCCTTGTCAACTCTATTAGTTACATCCTCATGGAATTCCAACAGATTTATCAAGCATGATTTCCCCTCTATAAATCCATGCTGACTCTATCTGATCCTGCCACTGCTTTCTAAATGCTCTGCTATAAAATCCATGACATGGATTTGAGAATTTTTCCCACTACTGATGTTAGGCTCACCGATCTATAATTCCCTGTTTTCTCTCTACCTCCCTTTTTGAATATTAGAGTGACATGAGCCTATAGGATCCTGGAAGATGACCAACAATGCATCCACTATCTCTAGAGCTACTTCCTTAAGTACTCTGGGATGTAGATTATCAGGCTCTGGAGATTTATTGGCCTTCAATCCCATCAATTTTTCCCAGCATCATTTCTCTACTAATATCGATCTCCCTCAGTTCTTCCCCCTCACTAAATCTTACACTCTCCAACAATTCTGGTATCTGATTTGTGTCATCTTTTGTGAAGACAGAACCAAAGTATGTGTTCAGTCGTTCAGCCATTTCTTTGTCTCCTATCATACATTCCCTGTTTCTGCCTGTAGGGGGCCTACATTTTTCTTCACCAATCTCTTTATCTTCATGTACCTGTAGCAACTCTTCGTGTCAGTCTTTAAGTTCCCTGCAAGCTTACTTTCTTACTGTATTTTCTGCTTCTTAATCAATCCCTTGGTCCTTCTTTGCTGAATTCCAAACTGCTGCCAGTCCTCAAACATATTATTTTTCTTGGTCAATCTGTCTGCTTCTTCCTTGGATCAGATACTATCTCTAATTTTAGTTTAAACTCTCCCCAACCGCTCTAGCAAACACTCCCCCAGGACATCAGTCCCAGTGCTGCCCAAGTGTAACCTGTCCAATTTGTACAGGTCCCAAAGCCCCAGGAATCTGAAACCCTCCCCATGACACCATCTTTTCAGCCATGTATTCATCCAATATATCCTGTCATTTCTGCTCTGACTAGCACTTGGCACCAGTAGTAATCCTGAGATCACTACCTTTGAGGTCTGAGTTCTTAACTTTCTTGCTAGCTTCCTGTATTCTGCTTTTAGGACTTCATCCCTTTTTTTGTACCTATATCATTAGTACCAATGTCTACCACGACCACTGGCTGTTCACCCTGTCCCTCTAGAATGTCCTGTACCTGCTCCTAGACATCCTTGACCCTAGCACCAGGAAGGCAACCAACCATCCTGGAGTCTCATTTGCAGCCACAGAAATGCCTGTCTATTCCCCTAGAACTGTTGCTCTGGCACAATTTTTACCCCTCCCCTCTGCAGCAGAACCAACCATGATGCGACGAGTTTGGCTGCTGCTGCTTTCCTCTGAGAGGTCATTCACCTCAACAGTATCCAAAAACGGTATAACTGTTTTGCAGGAGAATGGCCACAGGAGATTCCTGCAGTACCTGCCTATCTCTCTTGCTCTGTCTGGTGGTCATCCATTCTCTTCCTGCCTGCAGAGTCTGAGCCTGCAGTGTGACCACCTCTCTGTACATGCTATCCATGTCGCTCTCTGCCTCATGGATGCTCCACAGTGTCCCCAGCTACCGCTCCAGCTGTGAAACTCGAACTTCCAGGAGCTGCAGCTGGAGACACTTCCTGCATGCATGCTGACCTGGGGGACTAGAACTGTCCCCGGCCTGCTCTCCTGCCATGGTTTACCTCGTTAAATTAAACCTTGGAGAGTACTTTATATTAGATTAAATCAAATCCAGTTACCTGGGGCTCTTCTTTCGTGGTCCGTGTACTACCCTTACAGATTAGAAGCCAAAAACAGTTCTATAGGCGATAGAAATTGTGAGGACTTACTTACCTTACCTGCAACTCACCAATCAGCTCTCTCCCTTGTCATCATCTGCAGTAAGGCAAGACCACTCACTTTCCCTCGCTTGTGGTCCTCACAGTGACTTTTGTTTTTTGTTAGATGAGGAGAGAGGGAGGGAAACACTGAAGTAAGTGTTTTGGGTTTAACTGTCCCTTGGCAACAGTCCCTCCACAAACCCCTGTTTGGTTGTGGTGACTGCGCCAATGCAAATTTTCACCCCGACCGCCAATGATTGTCATCGCCGCTCTCTGCTCGATCTTAAGTCTGTGTCCTGTTCTTACCAACCCTCCTGACGTTTTCTTCATATTTAATCTGTCAAACCCCTGTATCTTTTTAAAAACCTCGAGTCTCCTCTGAACTCTCTACTTAGAGCTCCGCTGATATGTCAACATAACTGAAGACCCTTGTACATGTCATTTCCTCTGCATTCACTCCAAAGTCATGATGGCCTTTGTAAAGCACATTGTATATAACTGGAAACAATGTTCCAGCTGCTCTGTGTGGCTCTCTGGACTGAATGTAATTTCTTTGTTCTAGGGCAGAGGAAGCAGAGGGAATTCTTGAGCCTGAAGACTCTAATAAGCTGAACTTCAACCTTGCCTGCGTTCACAGTCATCTCCTCAGTAACCTGTGGGCATCTGCAACAATGATCTGTATTCCAGGTCAGTGATAACTAACCAGCAATTGTTTCCAAGTGCAAGCAAATACTTTACAACCATTGCTTTATTTGCACCAAGTCCCAGTCCTCTACCATTCTGGGCTTGCTGATCTATAAGGGGTCCATTCAAACTGTATTTTTAAATGGTGGCTCAGTGGTTAGCACTGCTGCCTCACAGCGCCAGGGACCCGGGTTCAATTCCACCCTTGGGCAACTGTCTGCGTGGAGTTTGCACATTCTCCCTGTATCTGCGTGGGTTTCCTCCGGGTGTTCCGGTTTCCTTCCACAGTCCAAAGATGTGCAAGTTAGGTGGATTGGCCATGCTAAATTGCCCATAGTGTTCATGTGTGTAGATTAGGTGGGTTATAGGGGGATGGGTCTGGATGGGATGCTCTGAGGGTCAGTGTGGACTTGTTGGGCCAAAAGGCCTGTTTCCACACTGTAGGGATTCTATGATTCTAAATCACTAGTGTTTGCTGACCCAGCTACAACTGTGGGCAACCGCTCATGCACACAGTTCCACACCCTTTCCATCATCATGTAAAAGGCTACACTGCACATGCACAGAGAAGGAAACATGATTTTGAAACAGGGTTTGATGGCAGCGAGGGAGGGTGGGGCAAGTTAGACAGTGAGGACATGGGACCCAGGAGGTTCCCTTCCTCGGTCTACCCCTACTTTGTCCCTCTACCTTCCTCTTACTCCCTCCACTCCCTCGCTCTCTCCCCACTCTGTCTCCCCTCCACTCCTCCTTACACACACATACACACACCCCAACACACACGCACACTCCCCACCTCGGTAAAGGCAGCCTTTCAGACACTCCAATGGATTTGCCTATCTCCACCTGTAATATTCTCCAGCCCCACAGCCCATTGAGATATCAGTTTTATCAAATTCTGCCCTCTTGAGAATTAGTCACTTTCATTTTTCCTTCATTGGTGACCGTGCCTTCAGCTGCCTTTGAAACTCTCTTTTTCACCGCCCCAAACTCTCTATCTCTTTTTCCTTCTTTAATACCCTCTTCTAAGACCTAAGATTCAGGAGCAGAATCAGGCCATCCGGCCCATTGAGTTTGCTCCATCGTTTGATTGTGGCTGATACGTTTCTCAACTCCGTTCTCCTGCCTTTTCCCTGTAAGCCTTGATCTGCAAGGATCGGTTTAGCTCAGTTGGCTGGATGGTTGGTTTGCAAAGTGGTGTGATGCCAATAGCGTGGGTTCAGTTCCCATCACCGGGGTTACCACAAAGAACTCTCTTCTCAGTCTCTCCCCTCGCTTGAGGTATGATGGCCCTCCAGTTAAATCACCACCAGTCGTCTCTCTCTCTCTCTAAGAGAGCAGCCCTATTGTCTGGTGAGACAATGGTGACACAAATCCCTTTACTAATCAAGAACCTATCCATCTCTACCTTCAATATGCTCAATGACTTGGCCTCCACAGCCCTCTGCATCAATGAGTTCTACAGATTCACCACCCTTTAGTTGAAGAAATTCCTCCTCGTCTTAGTTCTAAAGGGTTTTCCCTTCCACTGTAAAGCTATGCCCTCGGGTCTCAGTTTATGCGACTAGTAGAAATACCTTCTGCACATCCACTCTATCCAGGCCTCTCAGCTTTCTGTAAGTTTCAATCAGATCCCTCCTCGTCGTTCGAGTACATACTCAGAGTCTTCAACTGCTCCTCATATGACAAGCCCTTTATTCCCAGGATCATTCTTGTAAATCTCCTCTCGACACCCTCCATTCCAGCACATCCTTCCTTAGATACGGGGCCTAAAACTGCTTACCGTATTCCAAATGCAATCTGACCAGAGCCTTATACAGCCTCAGCAGTACATAGAGTCATAGAGTCATATAGCACAGAAACAGACCCTTAAGTCCAACCATTCCATGCTGAATATAATCCCAAACTAACTAATCCCACCTGCCTGCTCTTGGCCCGTATCCCTTCAAGCCGTTCCTATTCATGTACTTATCCAAATGTCTTTTAAACATCGTAATTGTATCCATGTCCACCACTTCCTCAGGAAGTTCATTCCACATGTAAATCACCTTCTGTATAAAAAGTTTACCCCTCATGTCTTTTTTAAATCTCTCCCCTCTCAACTTAAAAATGTGCCCCCTAGTCTTGAAATACCCCATCCTAGGGAAAAAGAAAACTACCATTAACTCTGTCTATACCCTTCATTATTCTATAAGATCACCTTTCAACCTCCTACGTTCCAGTGAAAAAAGTCCCAGCTTATCCAGCCTTTCTTTATAATTCAATCCTTCTATACCCGGCAATATCCTGGTAAATCTTCCTGAACCCTTTCCATCTTAATCTCTGCTCTTGTATTGTCGCCCTCTTGAAATGAAAGCTAATATTATATTTGCTTTCCTTACCACCAAATGAATCTTCAGAGAATCCTGAACTAGGACTCCTCTGTTCCTTTGTGCTTCAAATTTCTGAAGCATTTCCATTTAGAAAATAGTCTATGCCTCTGTTCTTCTGACCAAAGTGCAATTCCTCACAATTTCCCACATTTTATTTCATTTGTTACTTCTTTGACCACTCTCCTAGTCTTTCCGAATCCTTGTACAGCCTTCCCACTTCCTCAACACTACTATACCTCCATCCATTTTTGTGCCATCTGCAAATTCAGTTCCTTTGTCCAGATCATTAATGTGTAATGTGAATAGTTATGGTTTCAGCACAGACCCCTGTGGAACTCCACTAATCACCAGCTATCATCCTGAAAAAGACCCGATTATCCCCACTCTCTGCGTTCTGCCAGTCAGCCAATCCTCTATCCATGCCAGTACCTTGCTCTGAACACTCCAGGCTTATTTAGCAGCCTCTTGTATGGCAACTTGTCAAAGGCCTTCTGGATATCCAAGTAGATCACATCCACTGGCCTTCCTTTGTCTAACTTGCTTATTACGTCCTCAAAGTATTTGAATAGATTTGACAGGCATGACAAAGCCAAGCTGACTCAGTCCTATTTTACCATGCACTTCCAAGTACTCTGCAATCTCATCCTTATAAAATGGATGGGATACCAACAACCCATGTCAAGCTAAACAGCTTATAATTTCCTGTCTTCTGCCTCCCTTCCTTCTTCAAGAGGGGTGTTGCATTCACCATTTTTTCATCCTCTGGGACCTTCCCTGATTCCACTGATTCCTGAAAGATCACCACCAATGCCTCTACAATCTCTTCAGCAATCTCCTTCAGAAGTTCTGGACTGTAGTCCATCTGGTCAGAGTGATTTATCCACCTTCAGATCTTATAGGTTCCCCAGCACCTTCTTCTTAGTGATGGTCTCTACACTCACCTCTGCCTCCAACTCTCTTGAAGTTCTGGTTATTGCTGCTGGTGTCTTCCACCGGGAAAACTGATGTAAAGTACCTGTTCAGTTCCTCCAAAGGTTCTTCCCCATTACTACTCCTCCAGCCTAATTTTCCAGTGGTCCAATGTCCATTCTTGCCTCTCTGTTACTTTTTATATACCTTAAAAAACACTCTTGCAATCTTCTTTTATGTTACTAGCTAGCTTACCCTCATATTTCATGTTCTTCCCCCTTATTGCCTTTTTAGTTATCCTCTGCTAGTTTTTAAAGGCTTCCCAATCCTCACCACTTCACATGCTTTCTCTTTCGCTTTTATGCTGTCCTTGACTTCCCTTGTCAGCCACAGATGCCTTGTCCTCCCTTAATGTGTTTCTTCTTCCTTGGGATGAATTTCCGCAATGCCTCCTGAATTACCCCCAGAAATTCCTGCCATTGCTGCTCCATCATCTTCCCTGCTGGGCTCCCCTTCCAATCAACTCTGGCCAGCTCCTCCCTCATGTCTTTGTAGTTACCTTTACTCAATTGTAATACCGTTACATCTCGTAGGCATTCCGTGAATTCCTTTTCTTGAGATCTGCTACCAATCTGATTTTCCCAGTCCACCTCCATTATGAAGTCCCCCATGATTACTGTAATAGTGCCTTTCTTACACACCTTTCTATCTCCTGACTTATTTTCTGCCCCACATCCTGACTACTGTTAGGAGCCTGATTATAACTCCCATTGGGTTGCTTTTTCTTTGTGGTTCTTCAACTCTACCTACACAGATTCTACACATTCCGACTCTATATCAGTTCTTATGGGGAAATGTGGTGGTTCAGTGGTTAGCACTGCTGCCTCACAGCGCCAGGGACCTGGGTTCGATTCCACCCTCAGAGCGACTGTCTTTTGCAAATTCTCCCCATGTCTGCGCAGGTTTCCTCTAGTTGCTCCGGTTTCCTCCCACAGACCAAAGATGTGCAGGTTAGGTGGGTTAGCCATGGGAAATGTGGGGTTGGGGGAAAGGGTGGGGGCCTGGGTCTGGGTGGTATGCTCTTTGGAGGGTTGATATGGACGTGATGGGCCTAATGGCCTCATCCACACTGTAGAAATTCTATGAGTCTTGTTATCAGTCTTGCTGTCAACATAATTTCATTTCTTACTAACAAGCCAACCCTGCCCCCTCCGCCCATCTGCCTCTTCTTTTGATAGGACATGTTATCCTTGCATATTTAGATCCCAGCCTTGATCTGGTCACAGCCAAATCTCTGTGATACCCACAACATACCTGCCAATTTCATTCTGCACTACAAACTCATTTACCTTGTTTTGTATCCTGTGTGTATTTATGTACAACACCCTTGGTCCTGCATTGACTGCCCCTCATCTAATAATTGTCCCCTTATCTGCTGTGCCTGAAGTTGGATTCCTGACCCTTTCAATATTCTCTGTCCTATTACTTGTTCTGGAAACTTAAACGTCTGCTGAGTCCTTCCCCTCGTTAACATTTTCCATAATTCTCCACGCAATGAATCCCCACGCTCCAAGTTTAAAGTCCTATCCACTGATCTAGTTATGTAATTCACAAAGACTCTAGTCCAAGCATTATTCACTTCGAGCCCATCCCATCAGAACAGCTCCCCCCTTCCCCAGAACTGGTGCCAATGTCATGTGAATTCAAACCCGTTTCTCCCAC